AAAAAGATTAAACGATAAATGCTTAGTTATAAATCTATTACTCTTATTATGAAGGACAACGTGCATTTTACATATTTCTACCTTTAAACAGGCAATTTTAATTAATGAAACTACGAAACTGAAAAGACTGCATGCCAGTAACTGCTTAATCCAATGAATATTCACACAGACTTTCCGAACATGTAAATTGTCTTGAAATGTTGAAGTTACAAAGACAAAAAATGAATATTCAATGCACTTCATTAAATGTCTTCCTTGAAACAGATAAAAGTGACAGATTACCAAACCAATTTGGCAAGCATTTACAACGTACGATCATGATCAGGATGCATATTTTGATAACTGTGCTGTTTTAAGGGGTGGTGGTTGGTGGTACCAAAATTGCGGCTATACCAATCTACATGGGATCTTTGCAAAACCAGGAATATTGTCAATTGGCAAATTTGCCCATGATGGAATGTTTTATCACTCCTTCACCAACAACTTTAATTTTTAAAAACGTCTAAAATGATGTTCCGAAGAGTATAAACGTTGCTTTTCATACGTTCGAAAATCTTAGGGGTGGAGGGGTTATTATGGTATATCGTTGTCTGTCTTTTAAAAATAATGAATTGTGGTTTAATTGTATTTTTATTTGACATGTCAGTATGTTGAAACAAAACAAAGGTAAAATTCGAATTGGTCCGTTACTTATAGAGATCTACCGTTTGGTCATTTTTGTTTCTGTTACAAATCTTTTGAAGAATTTGAGGGATTGTGTTTACAGTTTTATTTTGTTATGAAAGTATGTTTTTATAAGAATTCAACTCAAGTTTGATATGTGCTGCAATCAAAACAATGCTGATAGATTTGTTCCGCTCTTTAAGCACACTTTAAGTGAAGTAATAGGTTTTCACAAAATAACTTTAAGGACGCTGTAGCAACTCAATAGCATCTTCTACAACGCAACAGGAGAGCCTTGAAAGCGCAGAACGATCGCCGAATGAACGCCTTTGTTAGCCATGGCGCTTGTACGGAGATTGTGCGGCGTCTCTATCACCCTATACTGCGTATGTACGGCGATTGTATGGATCTTTATCTTTTGTGAAAAGCTCTTACTACGACTTTACGTCACTGTCACGGCGACCACTGCGCTTTCAAGGCGATTCTACTGCGTTCATCTGATATTGCAGAATACAGTACAGTAAAATCCCTACTTAAGACCACTCCGAAACAAAGATCATTCCTGTATTAAGACCAATTTTCAAAAGAACGAGAGTTTCTGTTATTTATGTTAATGGTAGCATGGTACACAGTTAATACCACACCACTTATCCATCTTAAAGACCACCAGTTTCAGTTCCAATTAATTGTTTTATTTATCTAACTCCACTATTGAGACCACTGATATTCCAGCAAATACCTATTCAGATCACAAGTTTATTGTAAATAAATAAACTTCATAATGGTTTAATTTTATTTTCTGCATTTATTTCGAAGGTTATAATATAGTTGATTAAAAACATGTTAACACATAAACATTCAAATAGAGTGGTCATGAAGTATATAGACCTTGATAATTATAGCCATATTTTAGACCATTCGCAATTCAGCTCACTGAGACTTTAGTCTAGTCCTTTTGGTGGTCCTAATAGAGGGTTTCCACTGTATATATATTTTTTGACGATTACCTGAAGTAATGTAATAAATCCTGTGAAAGATGTCCGTGATAATCTTCTTCTTATTTTTCTTATTTGACTTTATGTGTGCAAGCCCTTCATCTGTTGGCACAATAGCATAATGAACTTTGAAACATTGTATGCCTATACATTCACGTCCGCCGTTTTACTAACACAAATATCATGATTTGAAAATTTCATAGCCATCGTTTATCAAACATAAATAAAGTTCAATTAATTAAATCAACCACATTATGAGTTTCACTTAATCATATAAAACATAATCTAGACTATCACAAATGATATTTTCTTTAAGCAGAATGCTCTAAAATCGTGCTTATTTGTTGAAAATGTAGAAGAAAAAATGTTTTAAAGCAGTATCTACAAAGTGAGCAAATGAAGTTATTTATCCTGTATGAGACACTTTCAATCCGATATGAGTCAAAATATCATCCTCACTATGTTTCCTTTTACAAATAAGTGGTCAAAAAGTTATAATATATAAAGGGATCGAAGAATCAATGGAATTTAAAATTTGATGTCGAAAAAAATAAAATATAAAATAACCAAAACCAGTTAAAACAGTATGTGGAGGTTGTAGTTGTTGACATGCAGTCCATTACTATTACATCAGTTTGTTGACCATTGTTTAGTTGTGATAATTAGTTTCATTGCACAGTTTCTCCTTTCGATCTAAATACATGTATATCATTTATGAAAATATCTTGAGGCTACGATATGTTTTTTTAAAATAATTTTGGAGACAATACAAGAAAGTGATATTGACCTGTTTTTGCTGGGTTTATAACTTGTTTTGTCCTTGTTGATCTTTCTTTCCGTTTATCTTAAACTTTGGGACTTTCATGGGAAATACTAGCTGATTTTTCAATCCTGATTGCCATATCTGTGTCTGAGGTAATCTGAAGCTTCAGTTCTTTCTAACAACGAACTAATAAATTAGTTAAATTTGTTTTGTTTGTTTGTTCATTTTAAGCCTTTCCCAACAGTATTTGCTTTATCAGATGGGTTTTCGTAAACTTTAGAGGATTTTATTAGCCAAATATTCTTTTAGAAATTTCACAAGGATTAATTGTCATGTAAGACTATATAAAAGAATAGCGAAAATGGGCGAAACATAGCCGGCCGAAATACGCCGGCAATGTAATGTATCAATCCGTTACAACCCAAACATTCCAGATAACAAATGAGAGATATCAGTAAGAAGGGACTGTATTGATATTCCCACTAACACAAACAATAAAGATCCTTGTTAAATGCATTAATTTCAGATCTATATCAATACATAAACAATGTGTTGTAAGGGCGATAAATGGTCGTTTAATTATGAAACAATAAAGAAGAGTTACCTGTTACTTTAGCAAAGAACGTGTGCAAATGTGGTATATTTAAACTATGAACAAATTATGAAACATGTCTTTGCTACATATATTGCGTCCAGTCGTGTGTAATTATAAAGATACTCTACATACCATGTTTTATGATACTTTCATTAACAAACAGACAGTTTCAACAAAGCAAGCATAAAATTCGCTAGTCTTGTTGGAGAAAAACGCTTATGGTATGACTATTCTTGGGTCAAACATCAAACATGACCACCGACCGTAGTTGAATTGATAAGAAAAATCATAGAACAACGCCATGTTGCACTGTTAGTTATAAAATACTTTGGTACAATACAGGTTAAAATTCAGGAAAGTCGGTAAGTTGTTACATAACTGATCAGTTCATTTAGTTTCACATGCTAGTCTCGTGATTGGTAACAGATGCTTTTGAAAACGGAATCGATATAACTTAAATGTTATATAAGTTTATTTTACCTTGTACATTATCAGTGTCATTTTACATAATACCATTTGTTACAGTTCATTTGTATCATAGTTTGGAGACCTTTCTGTTGAAAATGTGTCAGGGTTAAATCGTATACATATACATGCACAGTGCGTTAACTGGAGTGCGGGTATTAGTTACCCGCACTCCAGAGCATGCCCATTGATTGGCTCATTTTCGCTGGGGTTTACATATTTGACGGCAGAGAAAGGGAAAGCGACAGAAATGTCATATTCAGATGTTCGATCATTGGTTCAATTTTGCCGGGGTTTCATATTGTGACAACAGGGAACGTGCTTTTATGTTTGACTATGATACAAAAGAGAATGAACACCAAAACACTCGGTAATCTGATTAATACTCGGGGGCTACGCCCCTCGTACAAATCAGATAGCCTCGTGTTTCGGTGCTCTTTCTATTACTTACTGATAATAGATATTATTATAGTGGTCTTAAATCAAGCACAAACTATTTGAAATGACTGTACTCAGTATATTCAGAGGTCTTAAATGAGGGACAATCTATTTGGATAAAACTTATTTCATACAACAAATTTATCATAACAATTTACCATATCAATTTACCACATTAAGTTATATTTACAGAAATATTACTGTGAAATACATAATCCTATGATACAACATTCAAACGTATGATATAAGGAAAGGAACAAACGCTTAAATAGCATTTATTTGGCTTGAATACATAACAAACTTGTCAGGTAAAAAACAAATAAAAGAAGGCAAATAGTTTGTAAATTACTGTAAATCACATATGAATATAAACGACCATAGGAACTGCATACAATTGTTACTCCCTTACATTTGTGAGTATAAAGGAGAAACCACTACCACTGGGAAGAAAATATTACTACAATACTTAGCTCTTTAGCAATGCGTTTATGCTTTGCTGTAAAGAAAAAAGGAATTAAATTGGCTGTTCAAAAAAGACATGAAAGATTAATGAATAAGCTGTGAGCGTGCTTTGAATGATTTTTACCACAAAACACATACCAACCATCTAACTACAATTATTTTGATTAAGCATTGGGCGCATAACAATGCAGTTTATTGTACTTTTTCATAAAATGCACTATCGCCTCCGTGGTCGAGGGGTTAGAGTCGATGACTTCCAATCCAGTTACCTCTCTGGCGTTAGTTCGATACCCGGGAGAGGCTTTGGTAGTTTAGCACGGAGGGAGGTAGTCTTGTACTAGTGTAACTCTCCAGGAACGATGGTTAGGAAACTACCCGCCTATAAGACTAAAATAATGTTCGGAAAAGGCGTTACTAAATGAAACAAACAAACAATGAGAACAAGCCCAGTACAATTATAGATCAACAATTGAGCAAGTGCTTAAGGTTATCCACGTGCTTGGTAGAAACAGTTGTTGTTATGATGTCAATTTGAACTTATATAATAGAAAAACAAGAAAATAGGACATCTGCTTAATGTGTCTGAAAAAAACTGTAAAATATTGTAACAGTTGTTTTGACAAACAATTGTCTCATTTAATTTTTTTATCAGACATTCAATCTCTTTAGTTCGACCAATCGTTGTCGAACACATATTCTGCGTTTGTTCTATCGCTAATAAATACTGTGAATTAATATCATTACACATTGTTAAACAGAAGAATATAGGAGGGCGAAATACTTGGAATTTATTTGCAGGGTTTTAAAGAAATAAAATTATTTAACGTCAGGGAGCTAGAAGATTCAACTTCATTTTACCTGAAACCTGTACAATGTGAGTACCTTATTTCTATTTATCTATTTATTTATCAACTTATACGTTTATTCATCTTAGACACAGACTCAGCAAAATTTCTAAACTTGCGTATCATAGTTTATAATTTTGAAAGTTTATTTTTTTAAACTGTCTCAACATGTAGAAAGTTTATATTTTTAAACTGCAGCGTCGACTGAAAACCTGCTTTTAGGCTTTTATCGAGCGAATGATTAAACATTCTTTGTATATTCTAAGGATAGCAATCATGTCTGATTTCTATTTAACGGTTAATATAATTTTACACTCCAATTTTAAAAGATAAAATAGAGAGTAAAAATGCAGAAGAAAAGTTTATAAACCCGCGTTTCCTCTATATTTTTTCTGTTCATTTACTTACTTTTCGATGTAAATAATATAACAAACCATACACAGAAATGTTTGCAAGCCCGCAAATAAGAATACAGTAGGATCTGCACTTTAGGGGTCGATATTTACAACCGAAACTTTATCCGTGGCAATTGGTCTCTATCATTGGGTCTAACTGGATATCAATATAACCGTTTGCGTCGGTGTTAAACGTTGGTATCGATATTGCACAATAATCATTTCAATGTGTCAAATACGGGCTTTTAAAAAGACCCTTTGTTATGTGATTAGCCATTGTTTGTTTTAATGGTCAATGGAATCTATTTTCTTATGTTTTATTTTAACATCGAAAGAAAGCAGTGCCCAGGTCAATAAATTTACACCGAGACAGCTTTTTAGAATGACCCTTGAGCATACTGCAGAAAACATAGCTGTTATTTAGAAAGTCTCCACTGCGGTCTGGAGCTTTGTATAGACATATTTTGTCGAAACGAAAGTCTTTAACTTGGTTCGGCTTTAATCAAATAAGAGGGTACTTAATCAAGTCAAAGCTACATTATTTTAGATCATACTCCTGTATTACATTTAATCTAATAATTTAGTGATGTTAATCTGAAGTACTACATCTATATAATAGTTTAACAATTAAAATTGAAAAAATAAGTGCTAAACTTTAAAATAAAATGACACCAATAAGCGTTTGCCAATCTTTGTTGAGTTTATTCTTCATATAACAAGATTCAAAAAACATTTTTAAATGATTATACTTTACAGATTATTCAAATCGATCTATTTTAATAAACAAATGAAAACTGATGTAAATAAAATAAGAGTCTTTCATGTCATTTAGTGACATACCAAATATGCCGATTCGTTTTGATTCAGTATGGGGATGGTAGCTTGTATTATACAATACCGTTCATGTCACAAGCTCTGGCTAATGAAAATGATGGGATTTAGGCCTCCGTCCCATCTGTGTCTTTACTCGATGGTGATCATTGAACTCGAAGACAATGACCTTAACCACTTGTTCGCTGACGTCCGTTTTGGCCTTTTGTCAAATCAAATATCGAAACCAAAAATATGAGTTAATAATAAATCAAATATTCAATAAGTTGTGAAGAAAATCGTCATAGCTTGCCTGCGAAAAAAAGATTATTCAACTCACAATTATCATTTTCCGGGCTCGGACCTATGAAAAACTGGGTTGAGGAATAGACATCAATCATCATTTGTTTGTTGTCAATGATTATTTTGTGTTAATTCTTCATGTTTTCAGACAAAATGTTTGTTTTTCACCCTTATGTTTTTATTAGCTATTTGTAATCTGTGAAGAAGATGTCGATGTTAATATACACTGGCTTGGTAAGATGTTACTTACATAAATTATTTACAGTGATAATAACAAATTGTACCCCCTTCACCTACGCCCCGTCTGCAATATTCTAAATCAACTTTAAAGTAATAGATTATTATCTTGAATGTATGATGTTTAATATTTTAGCCAAATCATAGAAAATATTTCTTGCATGCACTATCATCTTAATTAGATTATTTACCAAATATAGAAATATTATGGATTTACTTATAACACTTGGTCTTAATAAAACGATATTTAATTACAAATAGAAGTGTTATTACTTGACCTGTAATAGGGAATATAGCTTTCCGTAAATATATCGTATACTCTTTTATTCAAATAAGACATTTTTGATCAAAATTTCATAGATTTCAATCAATTTTTACGATGAAAATATTTAACTCAAAAATGAGTTTAATTAATTTTGAATGACCAATTTTGTTTATTCATGTCAGGTTTACGTGTTGCTTTCAATCTATATCAAAACAACAGAAGGCGCTTTGAGCTGTGTTGAACATTCTGATGTAAGTGTTTGTTGTTTTTATTTTTCTTTTATTCTTTCATTGCTTAAGCAAAGAAATATATAAAATTAAAACAAGGCAATGATTATAACATAGATTTCATTGTTTTGGTTAGGCCTAGTTATGATCAAACACCGATCATAAGCTTGATAAGGAAAATATGTCTTTGACTTTTTACCATGTGACCTAATTCTTCAACAACCATATTCAAATTTAACCTGTATATCATCCAGGCAGAGATAAAAGATTCAATATAGGTTGTGATCTTAAGAGTATGAAGAAAGTTTTTCTTTCATTTGACCCGATGATCTAGTTGAACATATTCGCAACTAACCATTTTACCAGTCTAAATAACAAAAGCTCCTATAGATAACATTGTGTTCAAAGGAGCTAACTTTAAATCCAAATGCTGCTTTCAATGACTATTCTGGCTGGAAACATCATCCGCTTAAAATTCACGACAGAAAACTTTTTAAAACATAGCTCTCTTTTTTTTGATAAATATAAGTTTTTGGGCTTGGATCTTCGAGGGTCAAGGTAGCATTGAAGATGAACACTGTTCGTGATACATATCTAGACAAATATTAAAATAGAGAAAACATAATGCCTTAAATAACGCGCAGAACGACTCTATTGACAGTTTTAAGCTTGTTCGTGGACGGTACTGGAAAGTGCAGGTCACTGTCCACGCCCAATAGCACCGGCTTAAGCAGAATTCAACATTTAAAAGCAAAAGAGATGAAATGTTAGATGTTAAAACATCAGCAGAAGCGCTCATACGGCTGATAACATGGAACCTTCATATTTAATCTAAAACATCCAAAGGATGTTTTTTATTGTATTGAGTAGAAGTTGTTTTTGTGAGAAGTTTTGTAGCACTCAAAGTGTTTCTGACCAATTGGATAATCAAATGATAAAGTACAGATATAGTTAAAGTAAATTAATATAATTACACAATTCAACAAAATTGAATCTGTTTAATAACAGTTCAGAATCTTTTTTATTGCAGTGTCCTGTCGGAAGTGCATGCTTGCTTCCGGGATTTGGAACAGCAAAGCAACCTGCCTCAAAAAAATGTTACCCTTGTAAGTTAAATACGTCGAACGTTTTTCAACAATTAATTAGTAATATTTAAAAAAGACTGTTATTGTAAATACTAAAGGTTTTACCATTTTACCTCTTTTTTATTTGCATTTAAATTTTGCTATTTATCTTATTTATTTATATATTTTTTCTAGAAAATCATGGCCATTAGAATACAATCATTTTATACCTATAATTGTCGGCAAACTTCCGTTACTTTACATAAATGATTTATTTCGAAAAGTTTTGTTCTCAATCTTACTTTGATTTTCGTTCATAACAGCTATTTAGAATTTTAGAAATACTCAAGGGAACCAGTCTTTAAAACTAATTTGATATTGAAATTGATTGCATTCAATGTTGTAGTTTCATGACTGCTAATCAATAATCTTATCACAACCAATTTATTAATGGCATCTTTTTAGGTTCGTGTGCTGATTTGAATCAATGTTACTTTCAAGGGGGCCTTCATGGCAAGGTGATACAATGTAACTGTTCCGGGTCGGGCTTTACTGGCTGCAACTGTGAAACAAGTAAACGTGCATTTTACGTTATGTTTATCAATCAAAGTCGCTGTACTTTATTAATAATTTATTAATATTTTTGTTGGGATTTACGTCACACCGACACAGTATAGGTCATATGATGTCATTTGAGCTTTACTGTTGCAGGAAGACCTCACGTACCCTTCTATGTATTATTTCAGGCACGACCAAGCAGCTGGGTAGAACCACCGACGTTCCTTAAGCTCGCTTCATAGTTATATTGATATATGATTGCTTACAACATCTTAGAAGAATGTTACAATTTAATAAAATAAGTGAAGAAGATAATGCTATAATGAAAGGGAAGAAGTATGATTTTAAGAGAGGTGGAGATCATTCGAAAAAACAACTAGTTCAAGCTTATTATAATGATCGTTAATGATCTTATATTAATAATAATTTTATTTTAGGCAACATGTATCCATATTTACCAGAAAAATGTCTGTATAACTTATGGATGAATTACAATCTTTCAAACATTTTTTTGTGTCCATCAACATAAACATATAGAATGCTTATCCTTGAGTAATATAATTTAATCACAAAGAAATTATTGAAATCTATGAAATTCTTATTGAATATATTTACTTTAAATAAACAAATGAATAATTTATGTATGTGAAGCTGCATTTCCATGTAAAGTTGGTCTTTTCTTTAAAAGAAATATGCCAGTTTTTTATGACACTATATATTCATATTGTGACCATAAATAGTATGTCGAATCTTAAAGAGAACATATGTACTTTGCGTGAAGTCGAAACACGTTTATTTATTTTGCATTTACAAAGAGACTGTGTAGCAATTATCAATATTTTCTAATATCAAATTTGAGCAAAATTTATCTTTAATTTAGATATTGATGATTGTGCTAGTTCACCATGTTTGTATAGAGGGACATGCAATGACGGGATCAATTACTACAATTGCACATGTTTGCCTGGGTTTAGAGGAGAGAACTGTGAAATAGGTACGTCGTATATCCAAATCTTTCTTTCATTTTGAACATTACAAACAGAAAATGCATTGCAAAGGATTTACAATGCATGCATAAATCATATACATGTATTCAATTTAATGCGTTTGTCATAACTTATCTACGGTTGAAACCTTACATGAATTGTGTTTTAACTTCAGGGGGGGGGGGGCACCTTTCTATCTGATCTTTATTTTACGTTCTTTAAAATCATTTATCAAAAAAATCGTTTAACAGAAGTTTTAAAAATGAAATAAAACGCTACTATTCCGTACTCCTTTTTTCATTTTCTAGTGACACGTTCTTTACATTTCTCTGTCAAATTCGTTTGGATATTTTTCCTGAATGTAACAAGTGGCTTTCTGGTCAATTTAATGAAAACTTGTTTTCATGAATCTTTATAAATGTCATAAAACAAAAACTTGTTGGTCTACTATTAACCTTGATTTAACCTTTTCAATCTAAACGGTAATTACGAAAGAAAAACAATACAGTTTCAAGTCAGAATTCAATATAAATAAAAAATAACTATGTGATCGATTGTCTTTATTATAGCGCTCAGAGGTTGTGATGATTTACAACCCGAGGACAGAGTAAATGGGGAATATGTAATCTACAATAGCCAAGACAAGCCATACAAAGTGTACTGCGAATTCCACGCAAGTTATGGCTACACGTTTATTTTAAAAAAAAATGCTGGGAAGGCTGATCTGAACCGCCTCCGGTCATATTATACTGAAGTGTTAGTAAGACACTTGCGTTCAAATGGACATCAGTATGATACTACAATGGAACAGATCAGTACTTATTCTTCATTGAATATAAGTATCCAGTACAATGCTAATATTGATTATAAAACTCCAATCAACAGTGCAACATGGGGCTCTTATTTGTATGTTGGCTTCTTACCTATATCTATCGCAGCAAGTAAATCTACACAGGGATACCGAGCAAACGGTAACGACTTCACGTTCTCAAATTGTGATAGTAATCCAAATAGCTACTTAGCTCTCTTTGTCAACCATAACAATAACGATCCTAATGGAAAATACAAGAAATGCTGCTACAAACCATTGATGAGATTTTGGATCGAAGATGCTGCTAACCAAGCTCCAAATTACATTCCGTGTAATTACTTCTACCAGTTTGAGATGCACATGGGAGGATGTGGTGGATATGCAATCAATGGCTACAACACTTTGGATGACATTGTTGGTGCTGCGTTAGGTTTCCGCTTTGGTATGTAGGTCAATTTTTTAACTGACTATAATGTAATTCATAATTTTTAAATTTAAAAAATCGAGTGTCTGGCAACGTACTGTATTTTCAATAATTCAATATTTTAAATTGACAGCAGCCAAACAATGATATAATAAAAAGTGTAACTTAACATTATTGCAAAAGTATTCAAAATATTCAATGTTACCTTACTAGTATTTTAGTAATAGAAGTGCAAGTCGCTTATATAGTTTTAATCTATAATTGACACCCATTTTAATTTTTTCTAATCCATTTTTCAGATATCTAGAAGGACTTAATTATTGATAATGTAAAGAGAACATATAAGAATGAAGAAAATCTTTCTATTAAGTACATGTTTTCAAATGTTTATATTTACTTATTATGCCCATATAAATGTATGTATGTCCTCCTTTTTGAGGTTTATGCCCTAATTACTGGGACAAATTAGATGTTGTGCAAAGTTGGGAACATTTGTTTCTATAGATATACGGTGTCCTATTTCCTTATTATACCATACAGTGTCCTATTTTCTGATTAAACCATCACTTGGCCGTCATCACAAATAACATAATTTTCTGTTTCTAAAACGTGACTTTGCTAACACGAATTACATAATGTAACAGATTGTGACTAAAATTATGCCCGTACATTTATTATATATCTTACCTTTAGAAGGAAATGCTTATCATGCACTCTAAATGATTTAATATACCAAGTTCCAAAACAAACTGTTAAATAAATATGCATTTAGTACTATACATATGCTTTTGCTCACAAAGGTAGCAAAAAAATACATCTTATTGATAATGCCTTCCGATGCCTTAAATAATGTAATGTAACCACTACGACTATAAATTTCTGCCCTCATTTTTTTTCCTGACACAAAAACAAAGGAAACAAATTATAATGCCTAAACAATATCTATGTTAATCCATTTGTTGGCACAATTATCAAAAAACAGTAATTTGGGAAAACTTGTATGTCTATACATTTACTACAGTCACCACTTCGTTGGCACAAATAACATAATGCTCTAAACTGGGAAATACTTGTATGCATTTACATTTTCTATGCCCTTTATTTTGCTGATAATTGTAATATTAAAACCAAGATGGGTTTGGAAAAACTTTAATTGAACCCTTATAATGTGCTGTAAATGTGTTGTACACTTACATACATAAACCGTTTAGACAGAAAATATATATGTTTAAGCAGAAGATCTAGGTTTCCAGAATCCTGAATAATCTGAATAAAACTCTGGAAATTGTTGAAAAATCATCGAAACATTCAAAAGAGTCGGACAATTTTATCTGATGAAACACTGCCTGAAATCTGAAACTAGCAAATTATCACTTTATAACATTATTTCCTTTGAATGTTTGAGTACAGCCATTAAGTTTCAACATCTTGTTCTTTTATATTTGTTTGTATATAATCTTATTATATTTTCTTTCTCATATTGATATAAATTCCTGAACTGGTAATTGATGCAAGAAATTGAACAAAAATAATGAACAACCATTTAAACTCGATGAATTTCAATTTTGTGTGCAACAAATCGTCGTCTGGTACAAATTAATTGTTTCCTATTTCTTGCTTTCATTATTTGTAAAAATGAAAATTGATGTTTTATCAGGTTACCATATGAATTTGTGAATGGTATTTTGTTTGTTTCCTTGTATTGTGGGGTTATTGTTTAAATTATTGTACTTGTATATTATTTAATTTACTTGAATAAAACATCTTCTTCTCTCCCTTTTCATGTGTTGTGTTCGTTTGTTTGCAAAAAGATATAATTGCGCAGCGTGGACAACCTATCAGTTGCACTTGTGCCATTTAAAATAGTAAGTTCCATTGGAGATGAATCCATTCTGAAAAATAGTGTTATTTAATGTCTGAAAGACGCAACAGATATACATCCATCATTTGTGCCAAACATCTTTACGATAAAATCGACGAAAAGTTACAATCAATTCTCCCACAATTGCCGAAATTGACATATCTGGCTTCCAAAACTTTATTAGCCGCTTTTTGACATTGTGTTCTTTCATCTTCTGCGGAACAGTATAAAACGGACACTCTGAATACCTTAAGTTACATCGGCCGTATCCGGAAAATCTCGGATAAGCACTTGAATATGATTTGTCGGTCGCAAAGCCAATTCACAGGGCTATTTGCCATCCTGTTCCCGGCACCTGCCGGACAAGTGATGTACTAGCAACGGCTGGACAAAGTTTAACAAGACAACTGTTTGCATTTCTTATTCCGAAAGGCGTTTGATCTGCTGAACAAAAACGAGCATACTTAAGTTAATTTATTACATAACCGTGCAATAATATGTTGTAGAATTGAATGTTTGGAATATTTAACATCGCGACATAAAAATTTATGTAGCAAAAAAACGAAAAATCATGAAAATGGCGTCTGTCTTCTAATGGAGGTAATGTAACTGGAATAACTTGTTTTGAGGAAGCAACCAGAATACATAGATAGAAAATGAAATTGGTCCATACTAGAGCGAGAGTAAGCGTAACTCAACAGAGAATGGTAAGTATAAAGAAATGTTTAAAGCCCTGTGAACTGTAGAGGGCCTTGCAAGCAATCTTATTTTATAATCGTTCTCCATGACCATTATCTGAAAGTAAACTTGGCAGAGATTTACTACATTGTGCAACAAAACCCTTTTTCAAAGTTAATCTCTATATAATAGTTAATATACGCTAGGAAATTGTCATTTGCAATGATTTAAAGAATTTAAGAAAAAATGTCTTAAATAACACGGCTATAAACATAAAAAATCTTTAGCTCGTTACGTTTAGATTTTTAAAAAAAGTTTAATTAAACTTTCAAACCATTAAGGGACTTCAGGGGCACCGCCAATTTTGTCATATAATTTTGAGCCTTGCAGGTTGGAAGAATTGGGATTATAAATATTTAACTTTCAATGCCTTCTAAATCCACTGTATTTATGATATACTATGGACTAGAGACATTTGCATTCACCGGAAATGTTTCCATTACATTTCCAAAGTTTTACATAAAAGAAGGTGAAACGTTTAATTCCAGTTGCGTATACAATACAATTTATCGGGTTTTTTTCAATCAGTAGTTTCAGAGATTCAGTAATTTCAGCTGACAGTAACGGTATTGCTACTTCTTATGTTTTTGTTAACTTGCTTTTCAATTTGAATTAAAACGATAATTGTCAAGTGCTAAACAGGTCAAAAATAGAAAAAGTGCAAGAGAAGATGTATTTTTTATAATTGATAGCTTTTCTTTTAAACTCCTTTTTGTACAAGATACATATACAGTCAGAGTTATGCGTTTAAAGCGCCTCCAGATAAACGAAGAAAGATAAAAAGCAAAATATTTTATATGAACAGTTTAGGAAATGCGGAATTGTTCAAACCTTTATATAATGTAAATCATTTATCGACATGTTACATGCAAAATATGTTCTTATTAATTCCCTTAATCAAATATTTACCCAATAATAAACACAGTTAGGCTATTAATAACGCACGTATCATGTATTAGTAATTATGTTGCTCAGTTTTGCTTTCTAAGTCGATAAACAAAAAAGATTAAATAGTTAATGTTTAAGCAAATATTGGAGAAAGTCGAAAACAACTTTCTGAAGAGTTCGAATGAAGTTTGACCACTTGGTATACATGTATATTTCATTCAATTTATTCTTGTTAAGTTCTTGCGTGTTAAACCATCGGGATTTCTGAAGTAAATAAAAACAAAAAGTTAAAATTGTTTATCGTTTTGTCTAAAATCTGAACATCGTACTAGCCAATTTACGTAAACCTCATATTAAACAATAATGTTTGACAAGGAGAACTTGAATTTTATTTGCAATAATGTTATGTAACATTTTTTAAAATTATTTTGCTTGTCAGGCAATTTGCAATGATTCGTTTAAAACTATTGAGAAACGTAAAATCGAAAGGGTTTTCATAGATTAAATAAAAAGTCAGTTAAAGTATCGTATCAGTTAGTCATAGTATATAAAATATCAGTTAAATAGCTTATTGACCCACTTACCGAAGCGAAATCCTAATGCTGCACCAACTATGTCATTCAAAGTGTTGTAGCCGTTTATAGCGTATCCACCACAGCCGCCCATGTGCATTTCAAACTGGTAGAAGTAATTACGTGGAAGATATTTCGAAGCTCTTTTACCCACATCGATCCAATTTCTCATTAATTTAGTATAGCAACATCGCTTGTAATTACCATTTGGATCGTTGTTGTTAGGATTGACAAAGAATGCCAAGTAGCTATTTGGATTTGCATCACAGTTTGTAAAAATGTAGTCGACATCGTTGGCTCTGTATCCCTGTTTAGTTTTGCTTTTAGCGATGGATATTGGTAAGAATCCAAGATATATATATGAACCCATTGTTGCATGATTTATTGGTCTGGGATAACCAACGTTTAAGTTGTACTGCACACTTAGTGGTACGGACGAATGCGAAGAGATCTGCTTCATTACAGTATCATACTGATGACCATTTGAGCGCAAATGCCTTACTAACACATGTGAATGTGATTGTCCGAGGCGTTTGAAATCTACCTTTGCAGTGTTTTGTATGGATATAAAAGTGTAGCCATAGTTATGACGAAAATCGCAATACACTTTGTATTGCTCACCTCGTCTATTGTAGAATGAATATTCCCCGCTTTTCATTTCATTGAGCTTCAAATTCTGACACGGGCTGGAAGCTTTTAATAGAAAAAAATCACATTCATATAACTTTTCATATTTGAATACATTATAGGCACTTTTTTATAGGCACTTTGTATTTAAGACAGTCTTAACCGTACTCAGTAATGAAATATATTTATAATACATTTGTAATAGACAGTAATAACATGTTGTCGATATATTAAGCAAATAATATGTACTTTTGCAAATCGATTCTTAATATGGTGGTTAATTTACATATCTTTTACTTATAGTCTATATAAAACAGTATGTTATGTACTAGCACATGAATGAAGTAAGAAAATATCTGAACGTATGAAAGGGGTTGGATTATTGCAAAAATATTTATTACTTTTATTACAAACTAGAGTTGTAAACTTATTAGCGAGAGATGCCTGTACAATGTACAAAGCATAACTTCTTCAATTAGTTCTTAATTTGCAACATTCAATTTCCTACAAAAATGTCTTTCGATGCAGCCTTACTTCTTCGACATACAGCAAGCAATCATTTAAAGAGAAACATTTAGAAATGAAGTATCCTAGATTGTTTCTTATTCACTATTTCCTTAAGGAAATTATTTATTTTGATTGAAGATGGATGCACGTTTCAGATGTGTTGTAATATAACCACAAAGGCCTATACGCCCGATAGCTTAACTACAGAACATTTAAACCCCTCACCATATTTGCATAAATGCACTACAGAGCAAGAATAATTTGACTTTCATTTAAATTTGAATTTTAAATGCTTATAAAAAATAAAAGCGATAAAAGTGTATATAACAACAATTTATTCAAAATAACAACTGCCTATGCAAGAAATAATTACCTCCGTCTGATACTCCAGAATAGTTGAATAGAAGGACGAGTGATGCAATAACTGTTACCTTCATTGTGTATTCTTCCTGTCTGTTTAAGAATATAATCTTATAAAATAATATCAATAAATCATATTGATAGATTCGTACACTCGGTGGTACGTCATATATAAAAAATACAAGCACGCAAACACAAAACAAAACATACAGCAAGAAAAAACACAACACAACAACAGCAACCAACAAGAACACATTGTCACATTTATAATAGTTTTTTTATAAATATTTTCAATTATGTAAATGAATCACATTATGCATAAAGTTAAAGCGTATTCATGAAGGAATGTTCCACTTTCTATATTATTTAACAATCATTTATGCTACCTGTTCAAATATGTTCATTTTGAAATTAAATGTGTTTTATATAATATATAATATTTTGAAAATATTTTACTCTGCAAAGACATTGTTCTGATCACGTTATATACATTATATTTGTCTACGCTATGAATATCGTGAAAAGATGTGTTATACATGTACTTGATAAAAACAACCACTGTATTGTAGTGCAACTATAAATAATAAATGGCTGCACATCATGAAGATAAATCCTGATGAATTTACACAGACTTTTTTTAAACATAAAAAACAACATCTTACTATTTAACAGCAGATTAATAATATAAAGTATTATCAATTTTATGTCATTGATAAGATAATGTATATTCGCAAGTATTATATCATTCTTGTTAAATAAAAGTAACCGAAAATTTACTAATATTTTCATGGTGCTTTCTAAAAATTATCAAAGGCTTTTAAACATGACTAATAATAATAATAATAATAATAATAATAATAATAATAATAATAATAATAATAATAAAAATAATGATTATTATTATTATTATTATTGTTATAAACAAGTTTGACTTTGTTGAATGTGAGTTTTGCTTTGTAAGCATCAATTAAGTTGAATAATACTTACACACTTGTATTATCCTTATAGAATACAATTTCTCGGTGATTTTCACGCTGCTTAAATAGTTTGGCAAGCTGTCAAGAACGAACTAATGAAAACATGATGATTTATTTGCAGCGATAATTAGCTCGCCGGAACTGAGAAGAAAATTCTGGATGTGTTATAATTGGCGGGAGAATTGAGGGTGGGGGAGGTGGTGCTTATTGAATAATATTTTCTTCAAAATCATATCAAATGGTAATTGAGTACCACGTTCATCATATTGAAACAATTTTCATTCTAATTTGCTACCTACATCCGGAAGGACCGAATTTATTTCAATATAATTTGTCTTTGAACCTCATATTGAACGTTTAGTTTGTCCACTATGAAGTTTTCAAAAAAATGGTGACCCTTTTGGAAGAATAAAACAAAACCACAAAGCACAATGTACATTATCCTCTAAAATCATGTATATTTAAGTAAATATTTTTATGACATACCGATCCATATTTTCCCAGCTTTATTTATTTACTGTGACCGTTGTAAATCTAGTAATTTATATTTGCATAAGTAAAACTAGGACCTTGTTTGTTAAATGTTCTCAGGCGAGTGATGCAGGACCAGCATTGCCTACGTTTGTTAGTTATTTTGTTGTTGTTTTAATTTCAAGTTGACAAAAATATTTGAAATTCAACAGATGAATCATTTCGTTACATTCTTCATCTTAATTATCCTGTATGTGGTGATAACAAGTTGGTTGTTCTTGTTTTTTTGTTTAATATGTTTTGTAACGCACATCGTGAATTTTTGAAAGACGTCGTCAGTTAAAAAAGAACAACAACAAAACAACGATCTACATGTATACTGATTCAAAAATAAAGACGTGTGCACTTGGCAAGAGTGAAATATTTCATGCTTTCAGGCCAAATACCAGCAACTTCGGTACCGAAATGTGCAAAGAAAGGATTGATATTGGATTGTGTGGTCGTATCAATCTGTAAACTGTGTTATACTTTGAAAGCGAAAATTAAAAAGATAATTTCAACAACCCTGATCGATTACTGAAAGGAAATATATTGTAAGATTCTCGCAGTAGTCCTTTTTTATGTATGTTTTGTAATAATCCTACATGCTATCTGTTGTAGTGATTGCCTTCTCTTCACTGCAGTGTTTTCGTTTTCAGTATTCAACCGTGGTTTTGCCTTCCCACAATCTTCCCACAATTAATTTTATTTTATCTTCACAGGAATCTCGTGTTTGTCCATGCCTCTGGCTTCAGCAGTGACTTTCATCATTTTACAATGATTTTGTTTTCTTTCATTGAAGTGGTCTTGCTAGGTATCTTACACAGCAATGTCAATATTTGTCTCTGCAATGTTCTTGTCCACTTTAATCAGCGGTTTTTCCCCGTCTGTGTATTCACAGTTATGAAGTCTTCTGTTTTTATGATTGTGTTTTGTTCCTGTGTTCTCGTGGTCCTTACTGCCTCATGTACCACTTGTGAAACATTTCCTTTATCATTTGGAGTATTAAACATTTTAGGAAGATTAAAAGAATCTATCTTTGGCTAGATAGAGGATAGGGAAATCCCAACCCGAGGGTGATCGGTTCAATCGGGATCCAGCCTTGGCGAGTTCCCGATGGAACCGATTGCCCGAGGGTTGGGATTTCTCTATCCTCTATCAACCCAATGATTGACTATTTTTCTCACTCACCAGGACATATAAATATTAATCAGTTAAACTACTTTCTATGCGAATTACAGTCGGGCGGTGCTTAGGCGCCTGACTTTCTATGGTTGACAAAAGCATTTTACTGTCCACAAACAACTCTACTGATCAAGTTTATGTGTCTAATATTAAATAAAAATAAATTCAGGTGAGATTCGGCACCAAAAAGCAAGGTTATCATGATAAAATACTTCAATATTTAAAGTGGAAAATGTCATAATATTAGTGTTTATAAGGAATTCAGTTCATACTTCAATGATTGACAAAAAGCATTTAATCGTTTGCGAAGATTTTTCTACTGATTCAGTTATTTGGCCAAATATTGGATTAAAATACATTAAAATGAGATTTGTCATTAAGAAGCATCGTTATCATTAAAGAAAACGTGGATGATTTCCAGGCCAAGTGTCATTATTTATGCGATTTAAGAAGAATTTCGCGAAATATTAAAGTGTGCTATTTTTAGGAACAGATCGATAAGGAAAACATCGGACCTAGGTCGAGTATGACTCATTGAAGCGTGAAAGTCATTATCATTTTTTTTCGATTCCGTGGACAATTCAATAGATAATCTCACATAGTTGATACATGATTTGACCCTCATGACGTTTTTTTTTTTGTTGTCAAAAAAGAGAGGGTGTAGGAAAACGTGGGTGTTTATTACAAACAACACAAGAATGGTGTTTCAATAATGAAAGTATTGTTAATCGTAAAATGTTAAAATCAAATATTTCATCTAATGCTAGAGCGAGAGTAAGCATATCTCAATAGGAAAAGGCAGGTCTTAAGCTTTATGACTTAAAGAGGGCCTTGCAAGCAATTCTAGTTTATAATCGTTCTCCATGGCTATTATCTGAAAGTAAACTTGGCAGAGGTTTGTTACATTATTTTTCAAAATTAATCTATATATATATAATAGTTGAAAGTAGAAATGTCATTTGCAATAATTTGAATAATTTTAGAAAAATGCCTAAGATAACAAGGTGAAGTAACACATGAAATATCTCTAATCTCTTTGTGTTTTAGTTTTTAATAATTTTTTCTGGGCCTTTCGGGCTTGAAGTGACATTCAAAATATTTAACTTTCAAAACCTATTTAAGCTGTTGTGTTTAAGATATGTAACGGAATAGGGACATTTATATTCACCTGATATATTGTAGTGCCCCGGTATTTAATGGTAACTGATACTTACCTGGTGATTTTCATCTATTCTGTGACCTTTTGTTATTTTTTTTCTTTTTGTAACAGTAAATAGATTTGCAGCTTTCACTGGCTTCCCGTATAAATCAAGACAGTTGGACTGTTTAAATATTCAGCTCAACTTGCCTTATCTATGCGTTTTGCCAGGATTTCTTAGTTTTTACATCGCACTGTCTCCGTTCAAAATGTAAACAGTTTGTATTTTCACTTTTGCTGCTCCGTTTATCCTAGTCCGTGAAGTTTTTGTGATAAATCCAGTTTAAATCGTTAATAACATATGTTTTCTTTTATTGTGTGAAGTAACTTGTTTAAAATCCATGTTAAACCTTCCAAATTTATTGATTTAATTTGTAATTACTGGCACATTGTTGTTGTACAGGAGGCGGCCATTTTGTTATGACAACTTCCGGTTGTATTGCTACGGACGCCGGTGCACTAAGGATATTTTTTCCGTATCGTTTACATTGTCTTGATTTGAGAATAGATAGCTATGGCCAGCTTGTTAAACTGTAGAAAACGTCCTTATCATGTAATTATTTTTGTCTTACATTTCTATCTTTATTTTTAGTGTCTACTCGGTATGTTTATTCAAGATTTTAAGTTTGCATCACTGCTGCAGTAGATGCGCGCTTTTGCTACGTCATTAATGCTGCATTGATGCGTTCTTGTGTTATGCTACAAGAATGATGCATTTATGCATCATTTTGTTGCATGCTACATCGGTAGCACTCAGTTTTGTATAAATACCAGACGTCTTGCTGCGTTCTGGGACTTCAGATATTTTTTTCGGCCTGGGCACCCGTTACTCTAGTAGATTCTAGCTATATATTTTAAGAGCATTTTAAAGCATTTATTTTTCTAAAAGGTTAGTGTGACTTAACAAAATAGCGAATAGACACTAGACAAAAATTATTTATAGTACATTTTTCTTGGCTTAATAAAAGATTTTATATCTTCAAAGTAATATTTTTGTAAGAGAAATCTTGTAATGTTTTTGTAGATTTCTCATTGATAAGTAATAATAGTTTTTCTAAATATCTTTAAGTAAACTTGTGCATTTTAAATCATTTATTACCTTGCCATATGAGTTTGAGGCTTGTAGGTTCTATATACAGTGAACAGTAAATTATAAGTTATTCAAATACTTGCACAAGGGTTTAGCATTTCAGTAAATATAGTGGTTAGCATTAGGTTGGTAGATAATTTAATGAGTTTTAATTAAGTTGTTAAAGCATTTATTTATGAGCATGTTCTGATTGCTTTAGATTTAACAGAAATTAAATTGATTATACTTTATCACTTGTCTTTTGTCATTGTGTACAAAAATAGATTTTAATTCTTATTTACCCATACTGGTTGAGACCTTCCCCCCCCCCTTTTATTGAGTACTGAAGTCCATAGCCCATTTGTTTGCCCTTCACCCTGAAGCCTAAGTCCTGTATCCTGACAATATTGCAAGGGACTCGGAGCATTGGGATAACCAGCCTGGTGAACTGAGCAGTATAAGTGGAGCTGATACCAAGGTCGAGCACTCACACACTCAGTCATCCGGACACTACATTGTCTATAGCATATTGTATTTTGCAATACCAAGGCCATCCGGACGCAAGGACCGCTAGCACGTAGCATATTTTTAATAAGTGGAGCTGGTATCAAGGTCAAGCACTCACACACTCATTCATCCGGACATTACATTGTCTATAGTATATTGTGCTATACAATACCAAGGCCATCCGGACGCCAGGACCGCTAGCGCGTAACAATATTTTCGTGACATATCAAAAGTCCAGATAGAAGATGGTGAAAATATTTTATTAAGTAGCGTATACAATACAATTTATCGTTTCATTCAATCAATTGTATATTAACAAGATATACACACATTAGCATACCACACACATTTACATGACATACATTTACATGACATACATTTATATGACATTCACAAGAAACAAACCTTTATATGACAAAAAGCATCAATACAAATAATGAAAATTAAAAAATAAAAGACTAAAACACTCAGAAAAAGAATATTGTATCGGATTACATTTAATTACATCAGAAGATATTTAAGTGAAAAGAATAGATTCAGCTAGCTTAGCTGACAGTTACAGTAGTGCTAATTCTTTAGTGTTTGTTCATTTGCTTTTCAATTCAATGAATAATTGTCATAATTCTAAATAAAAAAGATAAAAAAATAAAAAGGTGAAAAGGGAGTTTTCAACATCTTATTTGTACATAATAAAGTTAAAGAGTGAGAGACATGCGTCAAAGCCGGTCCCGCTAGAAATTTGCAAAATTTAAATATAAAAACATACTTTTATATGAAGATTTTATGTTTTTATTTTGTATATAATGTATATCAGTTATCTAAATGTAATATATGCAAAATATGACTTGATAAATTCCAGTTATCAAATATTTACCCAATAACAAACAAAGTTTGACTATTTTTTGTTTTGTGTAATTATGTTGCTCAGTTATGCTTTAAAAGAGCTAGAATAATTTTTGTTTACATATTTCATGTTATTTCTGTAAAAAAAATCGAAACAAACATGATCAAATTACATGGTTAATGTAATAAGAAATAAGTAACTCATAAACTACAAGCAAACTATTTTGAAAGATGTCCATTTCAATAAATGTCTGTTTAGTCCTTGCGTGTTACACCATAGCGATATCTGAAGATAGAATGCAAAACAATATGTAAATGATCAGTTTGCCTAAAATCTGAACATGATACGATCGAATTTACTTAAAACAATGAAATAGGACTTGTTTAAAAACAAATTGGTTTGTCAGGGAATTTGAAATTATTCATAAATAATTACAACCGTAAAATCGAAAGAATTTTCATATAGTAAATAAAAAAAAGTCAGGTAAAATATCGTACCAGTTATTAATAGTAATACTATGTAAAGTATCAGTTAGATAGTTTATTGACCCACTTACCAAAGCGAAATCCTAATGCTGCACCAACTATGTCATTCAAGGTGTTGTAGCCGTTGATAGCGTATCCACCACAGCCGCCCATGTGCATCTCAAACTGGTAGAAGTAATTACATGGAAGATATTTCGAAGCTTTTTTACCCACATCGATCCAATCACTCATTAGTTTAGTATAGCAACATCGCTTGTAATAACCATTTGGATCGTTGTTGTTAGGATTGACAAAGAAAGCCAAGTAGCTATTTGGATTTGAATCACAGTTTGTGAAAGTGTAGTCGACATCGTTGGCTCTGTATCCCTGTTTAGTTTTGCTTCTAGCAATAGATGCTGGTAAGAATCCAAGATATATGTAAGGACCCATTGTTGCATGATTTAAGGGTCTGGCATAACCAACATTTGAATTGTACTGCACATTAAGTGGTACAGAAGAATGTGAAGAGATCTGCTTCATTACAGTATCATACTGGTGACCATTTGCGCGCAGATGCCTTACTAACACTTGGGAATGAGATTGTCCAAGACGTCCGAAATCGGCCTTTGCAGCGTCTTCTTTGGATATAAATGTGTAGCCATAGTTTCCGTGAAATTCGCAAAACACTTTGTATTGCTCGCCACGGCTATTGTAGAACGAATATTCCCCACTTTTCCTTTCATCAAGTTTCAAATCCTCACATGAACAGGAAGCTTTTAATAGACAAAATATCATCATTTTGATAGCTTCTCTTAATTTGAATTAGGCACAATGCATTTAAGACTGTCTAAACTGTACATAGTAGTGTAAGATATATATAAAAAAGTAATAACATATTGTTGACATATTTAGCGATAAGTGAAAGTCGATTTTTAATATGGAGGTTATGTCAATTTCAGTTTATATATATTTTACTTATAGTCTATATCTTTATAAAACAGAACGTTATGTAAATGAATAAAGAAATAAAAAATAACAACTTAACATGACGGGGTATGGATTTCATACTGTAAAACATGTATTGCTACTTTAATGACTAGATAACAATCCTTAAAGCAAGTCCAAAACGGCAAAATTGAAAATGTTGCAGGCTCGGGTTAGCCTTAATGTTCCTTTTTATTTATTTTATAGCAATGCATCAAAATAAATATCAATTGCCTAAAAATAAATGAAGAAATTACCTTCGTCTGAGACAGAATAGCCGAATAGAAGGACGAGTGTTGCACAAACTGTCACTTTCATTGTGTATTCTTCACGTCTTTTTAAATCTACAATACAATTTTATTTTTAAATTATAAACCTGCAAATAAATGTCTATTCCACGTCAACAACATTCAACAAAAAATTATGTTACCTGACAAAATAATGTCATTTTGAAATCAAATATGTAAATTTTATTTTACGTTGCAAAATCTTGTTTATGTTAAAATAATATACATTATATTTGTCTTAGCTAGAAATTTTGTCAAAACACGTGTTATGCTGGATAAAATGAAAATAACAATTATATAATACTAACATGCAACGACTGATATAAATCATTTATGGATGCACTTCATGTAAAAAATATAATAAATTTACACATTGACTCTGACACAAATGTTTTCACAGATTTTTATATACAGTAATATCAATTATTTACGCAAGTATAATATCATAAATGTATCATATTTCCCTGGTGCTTTCTAAAAACTATCGTGAGCTTTTTAGCATGAATAAAAATTATAATAATAATAATGATAATCAATATAAACAAGTTTGATACTTGTTGAACATGAGTTTTGCTTTGTAAGAATCAGTTAAGTTGAAAAATACTTACACACATGTAATATCCTTATTGAATATAGTTTTTGGTAGGTTTTCACGTTGCTTAAATAGTTATGATAAGCCGTATGTTTACAATAAGAACCAATGAAAACATGATTATTCTTTGCAGTGATAATTAGCTCACCTGAACAATAAAATGGTTGTGTTATAATAGGCGAGGAAGTGTATGGTGGTGGTGGTGCGCTTGTACTATAGCATCTGTCTAAGATGAAGCATCTATTTATTGTAAAACATCCTTGTGACAATTTGAATTATGATTTTATTATTATACCATTAAGCCTCTTATCGTCTCCTAAAACTTGAAAAAAGTTTCAATAATTTCATTAACCGATGAATAGGCCACTGAAAAACTGAATCTGTATCATCCCTTTGTAGTTTGATTTCAAGTTTGGTTGTTTGGTTGAACCATTACAATAGCTACTGTAACAGATTTTACTACAACATACCTCTCCTAATGAATTAAGCGAATGTTCATCACCAGCTCAAATCATACTTAGAGAGACTTCTAATAGAATAAGATCATTATACAAGTTATAAGAAACATCAATAAATTTCTATATTTTCCGTAAATCTGGGAATGGATTAAATAAGTCTAAACTGAACTCTAATAGACGTGGTAAACGAACTTAATTGGTTTGTTTATTTTGTCCCTAGAGCTAACAAGTGACCATTGTTTTTATCATTCTTTTCATCTGAAATAAATGCATGCGCGTAAAATATATTCCCCTTTCATAGGCGTAAAAAGTGTTCATCTATACGAAATCATGTAAAATAAAAAAAATCATCTTCAGATACTTTTTCTTTAAATATCTTTGCTAATACCTTGCAAAAATATGTCCATGACATACCAACCGATGTCCCCATTTACCAAGCTTTATACTTCAAACTGTGACCGTTATTTATATTTGCATAAGTAAAACAATCACCATGTTTGTCAAAAGTTCTCAGGTGAGTGTTGTAGGGCCAAGATCGCATTCTTTTGTTTTTAATTTCATGTTGACAAAAATATTTACCATTTAACAGATGAATAATTAATAACGTTACAGTCATTACCATAATATCCTGTTTGTGGTGTTAAAAAGTGTATTGATGTTTTTTGTTTAATTCGTATTATAACGTACGTCGTAAATTCTTGGAAGACGTCTGTTTCTTTTTATTTTTAAAAGAACAACAAATAAGATATATATTTGGTATCATAATGTGCAAAAATGTAATGGCTACAAAATGTCTTTCTTTTAATCAAAGCATTGATTTACGTTTCCCTAACCACGTTGATTTACGTTTGACCATCTACTTAAAAGATAAGAGCTGCACATAGATAATTTGTAACAGCCTTTTGATTAAGACTTAAATTACAATTTGATGAAAACTTGGTCTACAAAAGAAAACAAGATAACCTTTTACTTAATGCACACGTTTTTTCTACCATGACTCTTTATTATTTACCATTTAGCTTCATCTAAAATAATAGACGGTGTACAGATGTTTACAGAGATATGTTTACGCTAAATCACACAGCTGTCCTGTATCTAGGCAGTCCAAAGTTGGTAAATATTTCTTTGAAGAAAGGATGGTTAGTGTTTTTTTTTGTGATCGTATCTGTCTGCAAACTGTTACATACTGAGTTAGCAAAATCTTAAATAACAAAATGTAAAAAGTGTTAAATTAAATAAGCCAAAAATGCAAATAACAAAGTTTATATAAGTACGTGTTTAACGATTACACTCAACTTGTAGGTTGAAGTTTTACAAATAATAAAAACTGTAACAAATTAAGTTTACATAATAAACTTGCAATATTTTTATATTATTAGTGATTCCATTTAATATAGTGGGTGTAATGAATTACAGATATACAAAATGTAAATACAATATACATGCATTTCAGCAATAAGTGTATAATGTCATGGTTGTGATCTAAATATAAACACTATAACAATATACAAATATGTTTAATAGATATAACGGATCATTACTGATTTGTTTCACCACACAGTGTATCCCTATGTTTACTTATTTGCATTAAAATATGAAAACAAAGATCAACAAGGAGAAGTGGCATTCAATGAACGCATCCTCTTATACAGCACAGAAAATAATTTCATTTGTAAAAGGTGAATTATAAATTGTTACCCTTCTATTACATTTAACAATCTTATTTTCTTTTCGGCTAGTTGGGACATATGCACAGTAATTAGACAATTAGACAAATTCAATTGCCACATGACCATCAATGTGTGTATATTAAAAATTAATGTATCATCTTGGATAAATGAGCCGTGCCATGACAAAACCAACATAGTGCGTTTGCGACCAGCATGGATCCACAGCTGTCCTGTATCTAGGCAGTCCAAAGTTGGTAAATATTTCTTTGAAGAAAGGATGGTTAGTGTTTTTTTTGTGATCGTATCTGTCTGCAAACTGTTACATACTGAGTTAGCAAAACCTTAAATAACAAAATGTAAAAAGTGTTAAATTAAATAAGCCAAAAATGCAAATAACAAAGTTTATATAAGTACGTGTTTAACGATTACACTCAACTTGTAGGTTATGTTTTACAAATAATAAAAACTGTAACAAATTAAGTTTACATAATAAACTTGCAATATTTTTATATTATTAGTGATTCCATTTAATATAGTTGGTGTAATGAATTACAGATATACAAAATGTAAATACAATATACATGCATTTCAGCAATGAGTGTATAATGTCATGGTTGTGATCTAAATATAAACACTATAACAATATACAAATATGTTTAATAGATATAACGGATCATTACTGATTTGTTTCACCACACAGTGTATCCCTATGTTTACTTATTTGCATTAAAATATGAAAACAAAGATCAACAAGGAGAAGTGGCATTCAATGAACGCATCCTCTTATACAGCACAGAAAATAATTTCATTTGTAAAAGGTGAATTATAAATTGTTACCCTTCTATTACATTTAACAATCTTATTTTCTTTTCGGCTAGTTGGGACATATGCACAGTAATTAGACAATTAGACAAATTCAATTGCCACATGACCATCAATGTGTGTATATTAAAAATTAATGTATCATCTTGGATAAATGAGCCGTGCCATGACAAAACCAACATAGTGCGTTTGCGACCAGCATGGATCCAGACCAGCCTGCGCATCCGCGCATTCTGATCAGGATCCATGCTGTTCGCTATCAGTTTCTCTACTTGTAATAGGGTTGGTAAGCGAACAGCATGAATCCTGACCAGACTATTATGTTGGTTTTGTCGTGACGCGGCTCAAATTATGTTTTATTTGTCTTTCTACAATATTGAGTCATATACAAACCGGTTGACTTCGTCAATTATTACGTATTTTGCAAGTCTTTAAAATACATGTATATACCTTTCTGAAAACAAAACAAACAAACGAAATGACACCGTTCTGGTCCCGACTTCCTTTTTAAAATCACGTGAATTAGTAGGTTTTTGGATGGATCGACTTTCATTTGTTTGCCTCTCGTTAGTATTACAAGCTCAACATTCACAATGAATTAGCTTCCTTAAATGTTTACTCCAAATAATAAAGGAAGAGTTTCACATCTAACAAACAAGCTAGAATGGGTAAGATTAATGCTGTTTACTTATTGGTCAAAAGTTGACAGTATGGGCTTATTGTTCTTCAATCAAACACAAAACCTTACATTGTAGTATATCAGTAACTAATTTACATATAGTCGAACCATATGCCCGTATAAGGAAATTATTTAAAGTGATATATACATTTTGAAATCGTATAAATTCACACTGAGTCTGTGGGAATTGTGCAAACCATTTGAAGTTGAAAAAAGACTTGTAAGTTATTTCTTTTTTCCTTTTTTCTTTTTTTCTTTTGATGTTTTTATTTCTTATTTTTTGTTGTTGTTTATGGCAATTTAATAACACATGTACATGTTGGTCTGTTGCATATCCTTTAATAGGTCAATTTAATCGGTTTCACCAAACGCCATAGACGACCACCTAGTAAAGATAGTTAATGATCAATTCATTGGTTCATTAGAAGAAGAAGGTTATGTTTGTAAGGCTTTTGTTATGCGCTAAATTTAGAGTTCTACTGAAGGTGGATTGAATCTCAACACAATGTTCCGTTTTATATTTTAATGTTTCTTTCTTAGTGGAATACCACAGATAATATATAACATATACACAGGTTATCCTGATGTTTACAAATTAATATTAAAACAGTAACAATTATTTCTAGTGGAAAGCCACAATACAATGTTATCACTTGGAAATCCAAAATCTAACTGTTCTAAATTTTCTACATGTATCTTTACAATAATTCTAAAATTGATTTCGTTTTAACTGACCAATAGAATTTTAACATTTTTGTGTCTTAAATAACAAAATGACCAATCAGGTTTCAATACAAATAATGTAACATAGCAACATAGAATTTATAACAACAATCATCACCTGGATATTTTATCAGTCATAAGGTTTAACAACATGATAAGTACAGACAGCTTAATTGACCTTATCACCTATATATTATAAAACTTTTAGCACAGTTGATTGGACAAAGAGGAAAAACCGCATTTTAATCTTCCAGTTACATAATTTTAAATTTGACATCTGTTATTGAAACATATACTATTTGTAACTTAACATATTTGAAATTTCACAAATTTTGTCTTGAAAATATGACTTTTTAGAAAATGATCATATATATAAATATTTGTGTTTAAAAGAAAATCATCATGCATATTTATTCCTTTTTTTTTGTAAATGAATTTTATCATTTTTCGGCTGCACAACACTTCTCCCTCCTTTAAGACTATTTCACTCCTGTGAAATGAAGCATAAATACTATATAACAAAAATAAATATCATTAAATTAGAATACTGTTTACATAAGATATTCAGTTACAGAAATATATACTTGAATATAAAGCACCGATTTGCTGAAAAGCGTAAGTACCATTCACTAATAATAAATATTCTAATCACTGTCTTATTGTAAACAACACAGTTTTAATGACGTCTATTTCTGTTGTATTGCCCCCTCTGTCCTTGTTGTCTTCCATCATGATATTGACCTCTCCATTCATGTAGGAACCCGGTTTCGCATGTACTTGAAAGATCAAAATAAATATTATTGGCCACATATGTACCAGGAAATACTAGATTTTGTTAAATCATGTGACATATGTCAAAGAGCAAAACATACTACACATCAGGTAAGTACTCCTCTTAATCCTTTACCTGTAGTAAATGTTTTTGAACGAATGCACCTAGATATCATAGGGCCACTTCACAAAACAACTGATGGATTTGAATATATACTTGTCTGTGTAGACAGTTTCTCAAGGTGGGTAGAGGCATTTGCATTAACTAACCAATCTGCTGCAGAAATAGCAAGGGTGTTACATAATGAAATATTTTGTCGTTATGGGGCACCAGTGTCTATTGTTACAGATAGAGGACAAAATTTCCTCTCCAAACTCATAAATGCAGTATGTGAAATTTACAATGTCACAAGACACCGCACAGCTAGTTACAATCCAAAGGCAAATGGATGTTGTGAAAGGCAAAATGCCACAATTATCCAGACATTACGTATGTATATCGATAAAGATCAAAAGAACTGGAACATGTTTTTACCAATAGTATTGCAAGCTCTTAGGTCATCACCAAACATTGAAACTTCAGGGTTTAGCCCCTATAAAATGATGTTTGGAGGTGAAATGAGACTCCCTATGGATGTAAATCTAATACCAAGAGAAACATTAGGAACGGAAGCTAAGCAACATATACAATCCTTGTTGCAAAGACTGAAGGTAATACATAATATTGCGAAACAAAACACTGAAACTACTCAGCAAGAATCTAAGGTAAGGCATGATTTAAAAGCTCAACCCTCTGATTTCAGACTTTTAGAACAAGTATTATTGAAAATTAACAAACATACTCCAGGTCTTACATCTAAACTAGAGTATAAATGGAAAGGTCCTTATTACATAAGACAAAAAGTATCTCCAGATACATACAGAATTGCAGAAAGTAATACACATCAACTTCATAGAGCACCAGTAAATGCAAAAGACTTAAAAAGGTACAATGATCCAGACAACTTTAGGTTTCAAAGTGATGATGAGCAAATAATTGATGCACAATCCAGTTCTACTGACTATAATGATCAGTTAAATAACCCAGATCAAGGTAATGTAACAAATAACAATGACAATAATCAAGATGACCAAACACAAACCCCAAGAAATCAGGTAAGTGACCAAAATAAACAATTAAATGTTTCAAGGGAAAAATCTCCTACACCAACTACTTCAAACAATAATGATGGGGTATGGTACAAAGCAAATAGAATTTTGAAATTAAGAATAAGAAATGGTATGAAAGAATACCTTATTGAATGGAGCAACAAAAAGTATAAGCCTACTTGGCAAACAGATGAAAATGTTAGTGAAGAACTGAAACGTTTATTCTATGTTCGATACACTAAAAGTGGAAAGAAAAGAAAAAGACAGTACAGATATTTCAATACATAAGTAATACATGTACTTAGGTTCAAACCCTATTGAGTTGTTATGTTCTTAGACACTTATAGTATTTCAAGTTCTTCAGGTTGTTGACTTGTGTACTTGGCACATGGTATTTAAATTCTTTTTCTTGAATATAGTTCAGGTCTGTGTTATAAGATGGCAAAAATTAGTGCAGGATGGTTAGGATCACTATCTTTTGAACTGAATATGACTGTATATGTGATGACTGAATGTGTGCATTGAATGAATGGTCTTTTTTTTCTTTCTCTTTTTACTTCAAATATTTAGTTCAAAGGTTAGGCAGATAAAACTGATCACTTTGTTTGTCCCTTTAGTGATTCTTTTCATTTCCTTGTATTCTAGTTGCTTCCATTGTCCTGATGCTGACCTTGAGCATGATACTATGTAGTCCATCGGTGTCTGGAAAGAAGGTCTCTGACTTGCAACGTTTGAATTATGGGGTTGTATTTGAACCAGTGGATAACTTGCAGTTGGCAGAAGAGTCATGGATTCATACATTTGAAATTATATTACCAAAAACAGCTAATTTGTTCAGTATTTTTGGTTGTAATAGAAACAAAAAGTTTTGTGATTTAGTAAATGAAATGTTAGTGGAGATTAATCAAATCCGACAGAGTACAGAAGTTATGATAAATGGTACAATTGCTACTATTAATAAATTGTTGCCTGAAAAGAAAATTTCAATTAAAAGTAGAAGTAAGCGTGCCATTTTACCTTTTATTGGAAGTCTCTCAAGATCAATATTTGGCACAGCTACAGTAAAAGATGTAGAGATGCTAGCTAGACATATCAATTCATTAAATAAAATATCAAGCAATCTGATTAAGTCTGTAGAACAACATGAAGATGATCTTAGTTCTTACATGAAAGCTACTGATGAAAGAATGAATAATATTGTTAAAGGATTGGAAGAAAATCATTTGGCTATTGAACATATTCAAACTCAATTGTTTGAATCATTTGATAATTTAGAGAAATCATTTACAACAATGAGTGCATTCATTTCTAAGCAAATTACAAAATCTAGACAGCTTGAAACACTTTTCAATGAACTTTTGGATGGTATTTATGCTTTAATTGATGGTAAGGTATCTCCTCACTTAATTAACTTTGAAACAATGTCAAGCACACTGAATGATATTCAGAACATTCTTGACAAAAAGTTCATAGGATTTCACTTAGTATATACAGACCCAGCACTTATCTACCATTATGCTAGGACATTTTATGCTAGAAAAGGTTCTACTCTATATGTTACTGTAAAATTTCCCATTTCACCAATTTTAAAGCCATTAATGTTATATAAGATAACTTCATTTCCAGTTCCAGTAAATGATACTTCAAATCATGCAACACAAATACTAGATTTACCTGATCATATTGCTATTACTTATGATCTACAATATTACACAACTTTTGGAAATCTGGAACTTCAAAAATGCAAGTTTAATAAAATTGTGCAGTGTGATTTTAATAAAATTCTAATGCCTGCTATTAAGAAATCTTGTGAATTCTCCTTGTTTAAAAATGACAAAATTTTAATCAAAGAAAATTGTAATTTTAGATTTTTGCTGAATCATATTTCTAATGATGTTGTTCTGCTATCTAAAGATTCTATATTAGTTTATAATGTTGATGTCCTTGAATATGATTGTAAAACTGGAAAGAAAATGGTTAAAGGTTGCAAATTTTGTACCATGAATGTGCCATGTGATTGTTCAGTTTCTACAAGTCATACATTTTTACCTGCAAGATTGACAGACTGCTATGAAAATACTTCAGCAAAATTACATCCTGTAAATCTTGCATTGCTACAACAATTTTTTAATGATAGTTCTTTGAAAGATATTGATAGTAATTCATTATTTGAAAATCCAATGGCTATAAATGTTCCAAAATTTGAAATTTACAATCACACTATGAATAAAATTTTAGCAGATGACAGCAAAGCTCATCTTAACTTACAAAAAATGGCACAATCAGCAAAAGACAATTCACTTATTTATCAATCTCTCACAGATTCCTTACTGTCAGGAAACATTGCTTTGGATGATAATATTATTTCAACTAATGACATTATTTTATATGTCACAGCATCTGTTGCAGCATTTTCTCTGATTGCTTTCATAGTTACAGCATGTAAGCTTAGGAAAGTATTAATTATTGTATCTACATTACAAATCACTTGTACCAAACAAGTTAAAGCTTCAACTGTTCCATCATTAGTTTATGTAACTTCTCAACAAGCTACAACAAATGACATGTATTTTTGGG